CTGGACCACATTTTGCTCATCCCTGGTGTGTCTGTGTTGTGTGGGGAATGTGGCCTCTGGACCACATTTTGCTCATCCCTGAGTAAGAGTGACTGGTGTGAATTACGTTCCAGAAACCAGGCTGTATGAAACTGACATGGTAGTTTTGAGTCTGTCACTTTGGACCTTTCAACCTAACTTGGTTATTGTGAGAATTACAGTGAGAATATTGTGAGGAGCATAGGAACCAGGCATGATGAATCATCCTGCTTGGGCATGAAGTGAAAATACTTGTGGACTAAGTTGGTGCCTGAGTTTGCTAGTGTCACGGTACACAGCGGTTAATCATTCAAAGTCAGTTTCATCTAATACGATAGGTAGTCTTCTGACTTGCCTCTGGCTTTTCACCCACGTGAAATTCTACATTGTGGATGTGAAAAAAATGCTTTACAAAATTACTTATTCTCTGTAAAGATTAAGGCCAGCTTTTTGTGGAATCATACATCTCTGTCAGAGTTCTCATTTCCACTACAAAAATGCAACCAAGAGGTTTTATGGTGCCACTGCCCCGTTAAACTTTCTAAAGTCTGATCAAGACGTCTGCTGTCTTTCCTGTTTCTGGAGCAAAGCACATACACAAAGCTAACTGAGAAGGCCTGGCTGATTGGTTGAAAAGATGCAAATAACCCGTCAACCCCTCTAATTTTTAAAATTCCACAAGACAGCAGCTACTGTTGTTTTGCAGTTTTCACAAAATGTGCAAAATTGTTCTTGCAAATGTGAGGACTCTCATCAGGAACACTTCAAAATGTCTTAGTGCTGAAAAGAGAGAAAAAAAATAGTGGTTTCTTGTTCTTGTGCATGAGAAGAAGACCAGGAGGTCTGGCTCTATGGAAGAGCAGAGCTGCTGCTGCTGCTGCTGCTGCAGGCACTTGTTGTCTCCCCCAGCCCCAGCCAGAGCGAGGAGAGCAGCAGGGAAACGAGGTTTCATTTCTCCATAGTTGCTGGGCTGAGAGGATGGCATGAAGCCTATACAGAGCTTCCCTGCCCTCATCCCAACCTAGTTTGGAGTGCTAATTGATCCACCCACCCATATGCTGGTGCCAGATTAGCAGGTTGTTTGGACACTGTTTGAGGAGGACAATGTTGCCCAGCCAGAGCGAGGAGAGCAGCAGGGAAACGAGGTTTCATTTCTCCATAGTTGCTGGGCTGAGAGGATGGCATGAAGCCTATACAGAGCTTCCCTGCCCTCATCCCAACCTAGTTTGGAGTGCTAATTGATCCACCCACCCATATGCTGGTGCCAGATTAGCAGGTTGTTTGGACACTGTTTGAGGAGGACAATGTTGATTTGATAGGCAGATTAGCAGGTTGTTTTGGGGCTGGATAGGAAGTTTTGTCCCGTCTTACCTGATGGGTATATTGGGGGGGGGGGCGGAAGTGGTCGGGAGGTTTTTGCATACCTTGCACTGATTGCTCCCAGGACAATTTTGACAGATATGGGCTACGTCAACTTAAATAGGTTACACTGGCTGGTAGTGTGGAATGGGAGGTAATTAGTGGTGTGTTCCAAAGAGGCACGTGGGTGGGTGCTAGCCTATCTAATGTTCTGGCACTATGAATCCTGAGATTTCATTGCCGGAGTGGGGGGATTCATTGGGGACTGGCCCTGACCATTTGCCTGCCTCAGGTCATGAGGCTTAGGGGGTTTTCCTGGGAGAGTCACCCAGTGTCTGTCAGCTGGATAGAGGCTGTATGGAAAACAGCATAGATCTAGGGCTTGGGACTCGCCTGTTTCAGGGCAGAGACAGTGGTCAAGAGGAACCACCAGCTCCTAAGTTAAGTAGGCCCCTCTGCAAGAGATAGGAAGGTTAAGTTTAACCCATCGCCTGTGTTCATCTTGTTATTCCAGGCTTGAGGAACCACCAGCCATTAAGCTAAGTAGGCCCCTCTGCAAGAGATGGAGAAGTTAAGTTTAACCCATTGCCTGTGTTCATCTTGTTATTCCAGGCTTGGGGATCGGGGGGGGGGGGAAATGATTTACATACCTGTTCTGCACAAAATATCAGTTGAAAATTTTCAGGGCAGGAATTTCTGCAGGACTTCCAAAATGTCTCAGGGCTGAAATGATCCTCAACTAAATTCCTCAAGTAATCACTGAGTTCCCAAAGCAGAGTCAAAAACAACTTGAAAGAATGCCTCTCGGGTGAAATGGGCAAACAATATCCGGAAGAGCTGCCAGACTTTCATTGCGGATAATGACGTTTCTCAGGATCTAACTTCCGGTGTTGCGCTTATTAACAGAGTGTGTGCACCTGCACTGCTCTTTACAAAGCACAAGGTGTTGAGTATAGCTATCCACAATGGCCGGCCTATTAGTGTCAGCTGAATTAACAGATATATGTTGAAATACTTGGTACAATAGGAACTCCTCTTTTTTCGCCTGCCCAGTTTTCTCTCTGTGTAGTTTATGGCTGCAAATGAATCTTGCTTTATAATAAATATTTCCTCTTAAAGCAAATGAACATGACTCCCTTTAGGGGAATTGAAGTAATCTGTTGCAGCGGCAATCCTTCCTGTCATGAAACGTTGTTGACTACTTGGCTTCCGTCCATGTCTTTGCCTCTCTATCCTGCAAGTGCTATTTTAACCCTCGTGCTTTTATGCTAAGCGCACAGACACGTTTTTCTCCCCATTCTTCTCTGCCAGTTCATGATTAGGTTACAGGGCAGGCTGTCTCTCTGACTCATCTCTTTATTTTTCAATGCCTCTCCTTCTCTTCAGTTTGCAAGCAGCTGGAAGCCTTGGATCTTGTTTTCATTCATTGTTTTCCCTTTTCTAATGAGCCTTTTGCATATTGCTGCTCTGTACATAGGACCTTTTTTTGAAATGGATGAGGGGGAAAAACCCAACTACAATGAAGCTGTCATCCAACCAGTTTTAGACAAAGGATTCAAACCTAAGCCTATTCTCTCTCTCTTCCCCCTTTGTCATAGAATTGCATTGTTTTTCTTAAAGTAGTTATAATGCTAGTTTAATGAAAACATTTTGCAAAGGATAGGGAAGCTGAGATAAGAAGGAGTGGGACCCCATAGCTGACAAGGACAAGAAAGATTAGAGTGAAAATGCAAAATGTGAACAGAAATCTAATCGCAGTTTCAGGGCTCACACAAAAAAGGAGAATCTGGTGTCTTTCCCCTCCTTGATACTGCTTTCTAAGACGTATGTATTAGAATGAGTATGTATCTACATATTTATAAACCTGTTTTCAGAAGTTCAAGTTGAGTCTTGAAATGTTTTGTGGAAGAGAAATGTAAAGGAGGAACGACAGGAGGCATCTGCAAATTAAAGGTATAGAAATGGGGTAGGAGTTGCGAAACTGATGCTAAGAAAGGAGGTCGTATTAGAATGGATTCCAGCTCTCATTTAATGAGTACATAGTAGAAGCAGCAGGTTCTATGTATAATCCTGTGAGTCCCTGATCTTCAAAGTGGATACATGTGAGTCTTGATAGGACAACAATATAACTGGCTTATACATTCATTACAAGTAACACAGGCTTTGCTTTTATAAGGGACTAGACAAACTCATGGATGGTACGGCAACCAGAGGCTATTAAATGACTTTTTTTGTATGTTGAGATGGAATACCTTTGAATATGTATTGCCAGATAGCAAACAATATGAGTGCTACAAACACCATGCTGTGCTAATGGACTTTCTGGAAGTTTTGGCTATCCATTGCTGAAAGTCCCCCAGGGCCTCTGAATTCAATGTCACAAATATGTCTTAGGTTATTTTGTGCCAGGACAGCATCCTTTCAGTACTACCATAAAGCCATTGTTGCCTTAATTTTTAAAAAAGTATAACTGACTGTAAACCTGTTTGATGAGCTATCTGAGACATGTACCGGGGAGAAAGATAGCTGAATACAGAGAGGGGCTACTTCTCTTCTAAGACAGTCAGAGGTATAGTTGTGTAAATGTATGAATCTCGCTTTTCTAGTGCAGCAATTCTTCAGACTGTGGGCATTCTGTTCACCTTTCTCCATAGGTCAACATTACATTGTAAACATCTTTTTACACCATGTAGAAATTACTCCGTAATACACATTTTCTGAAATGAATGCATTTTTTTACATAATCACATTGTTACACATTTCCCTATACTTTGTTTGAGAATACATGTGGACATACATACACAAAACGTGTGTGTGTGTGTGTGTGTGTGTGTGTGTGTGTGTGTGTGTTGCATTAAAATCTATAATCTTGCATTAAAATCTGAACCAAATGTTTTTCCCCCACTCTTTCTTTAGAAAAGAACATTTTTGAATGAAACTCATGCTCAGTCCAAGGAAAAATAAAGAGTATAATTATATGTTATGCTTAGTGATGTGATTGCAGAATTTTAGTTGGCCAGAAGTTGTCTACTAGACAGACAAAAGCACTGCTTGACTGAATGCGGTACCATTTTTCATTGCTGTCAAAAGTAATGGTGGTGCTTATGTGTTTTCTGATGCACACCTGAAACACACATATGTGCTCATTAGAACAATATCATTAGGTGAATATGTTATTTCCCCATCCCCACCGAGGCTCTCTTTTGCTCATACTATAAAACAGCAATGGGTGGAAGTTTATTTATATTCTTGGGCTGTTTTTGCTCGGGAGCAACAAATATGTTTTTGTACAGTAGGACTCCCATATCTGTGGGATCAGTGTCTGCTGATTTACTTATTATCCATGGTCTGAAAATATTAAAAACATTAAAAGAAAAATCCTAAACATTTATATTTTTATGATGTCATTGCCAGAACTGGCTACTAGAGGGAGCCAGGGAACATGTTATGTATAGCTTTCATTATTAAAATAGTGTTCACTATAATCTGTGTTTTTCAGCATCTGTGGGGGGGGGACTTGGAACTGATCCCCTGTGAATATGAGGGTCCTACTGTATTTTTCTTCTAGAATACTGACCATCTGGACATCTCAAGATATAATTTTAATCCTTTCTTCCATTTAGATCTTCAGCCATACAGAAACTATAGTTTTACACTCACAGCCTGTACATTTGCTGGGTGCACTTCCAGTCAGACAAGTTCAGGCAGAACATTGCAAGCTGCTCCTCAAGGTAAAAGGAAATGTGTGCCACTGTTGGTTGTTGTGGGTTTTTCGGGCTTCTTGGCTGTGTTCTGAAAGTGGTTCTTCCTAACGTTTCACCAGTCTCTGTGGCTGGCATCTTCAGAGGACAGCAAACTGTGCTCTGGGTAGGCAGAGAGTGGGTGGAGTATTTATGGCTGTGAGAAGGCTAGTTTGTGAGATAGGCTATTGTCCTTATCTGGAGATGGTTGATTAGTGTGTTTTGTTGTGGCTGTATTGTTTTGATAAGGAGGGGAGATTATCTGTCCCTGTGGTTGATGGGTGTCATTAGCTGGTTTTTTGTGCACAGTAATCTGTATTCTCTACATTTGTGCTTCCTAATCATACATGTCCCATGTTGAGAAAGCTGTCACTAGAGGTTTTTCTTTCTTCCCACAGACTATTAGTATTAACAGAATGTTGAATTTGTGCAATCATGAACACTGATTGCGACTCTTTGAAAAAGTGGTCAGGAGGGTGGGAGATAGATATTCAGAAGTTGGCGTGGGGGCTCTTGGGGGAGTTCCTTGACCTTTTGCACTCTGTGTTTTTGAGAGCTGGGAGCCAGGTTTTGTTGAGTTTCAGACATTCCTCCTTCCGGTTGAAGTTTTGTTGATCCTTGTGGACAGCTAATGACACCCATTAACCACATTCTTTGAAAAAGTGGTCAGGAGGGTGGGAGATAGATATTCAGAAGTTGGCTTAGGGGCTCTTGGGAGGTCCTGCCCTTTACACCCTAAACCATGGGCCATTCTTGTTTATTACCTAGGTCTTTTGCACCCAGTAGTATCTGTTTGAGTGATGATGGCAGGGAAGTACCTGGGTGATTGGTCCCTGTCTGCATGTTGCTGGACCTTTAAAAGTGACACCTCCTCAGGATATAGGCCAACATGGTTTAGTAATTATATTAGAGTGCCACACACAGGGACTGGTTCACATCCCATTTCAGCAGTGAAAGTCACTGTGGAACTTGAGTCTAATCATTCTCTGTCTTTCAGAATAAGCCATCTCACAGGTTTACTATGAGAGTTAAAAGGTAATAGAAGAGAAACCATATACATCATCTTGATCTCTAGGAGAAGAAAGATGGTGTTTTTGTATATTATAGTTGATTTAATTCAGTTGATTTGATTTATCTTAGTCTACATTTACTTTTTTGTAAGCTGTCCTGCAGACCTATTGAGCAGTGGAATATGAATCAAATTGATCAATAAAAGTATATATGGTAGTTGAGTCTGCTGTCAGAGTGAGTCTTCAGGCAGTTAAAATGACTTTGAAGTTTATTGTTTTACACTAATATCAACTACCTATTGCATTTATAACATTAAGAAAAGATGTGAAAATGTTATTAAAGTAAAATCATTGATTTAATTACAGGAGTATGGTCACAGCCTCGTCATATCATAGTTAGTTCAACTGTAGTAGAATTGTATTGGGATGAACCAAAGGAATCCAATGGAATTATTTCTCAATACCGGTTGCTTCGTAATGGAGAAGAAATTTTCAAGGGCGGTAAAAGAAATCTGCATTTCATTGATTCTGGCCTGCAACCAAACAGCAGGTAAAATTGTGATTGCTTGATCTGTGTAAGATAGTGGCTATTAAATGATATTGTCTTTTCCCCCAAAAAAACTGAAGCTAAATCCAATTTTTGGCTTATATATTGGCCCCTGGAAGCATCCAAATGGTCACTTAACAGATAATGACATTTCAGTCCTGCCACAAGACCTTAGCAGATACAGAATTCTGCCCTCCTTTGTAACAGCCATTAGAAACATGTGTCTTAGATTTAGCTATGGCACAGCAATAGAAAACCCACTGAAACATCTACCAAAGCTATACTATGGCTGGCAGAAAGGAAGCAGGTTTCATCTGTTTTCAACGCATTTAAAACATGCTAGATTTAACAAATTTGGTTTCATCTTGAAATGTTTGCCAAGCCAACTGTGGCTAGATGGGCATCTCAAGATGAAGAGTTGTCTCATCCCTTACAGACAATAGTTATGATTCCCAGGGTGGCCATCATTCTGAACATCTGGCTTTTACTGTTCTCTGCCAAATCTTAGACAGGGATCAGCAAATTCATGACCTTTAGTGATATCAGAGAGACCAATTTCCTCCCTTTTCTGAAGATTTGCCCTGACCCTGTGTACCCTCCAAAGGTGGATTATTTTCACTTCTTCACCACACACAAGCCTGAATTGTGCCAGCTATCTATGTTGCTTTATATATACATTAAAAAAGAAAAGTAGAATTGAATGGCAAATCCTTTCCCTTTCTAATGATAAAGTATACAATTTATTGACCCTTCCTCAAGGGCTTAAGTACAGGCTGTAGACCTTAAAGAGTAGTGACTTAGCAGAGCCAGAGGTTTGGAGTTCAGTTCCTCACTGTGCCTCCTTGAGAGTGGACTTGATGATCCACAGGGTCCCTTCCAGCTCTTCCAGCCCAGGGTCCCCTCCAGAGTGGACTTGATGATCCACATGGTCCCTTCCAGCTCTGCATTTCAAAGGTTGTTCTTATTCTTACTCTTACTCTTACTACCCAAAGTCCCAATTGTTCTCCTACTAGAAGATGTTGCAAGTTCTATATTGAACAAAGTTGTCTTCGGCCCACTTCTTGTTCTTCTAGCCCCGTCTGTGAGTTTCGTGCTGTACTCTTAATTTAGTCAAATACAGTAATATTTTGCCCATGCCTTTGTTTTGAGAAAAGGACTTCAGGAATAAGCAATTTTGCATTCTCACACCCATCTTCAATCACACCTTTTCCTGATGAATTTTAAGAGTAGTCATGTGGAATGTTTCTCAGGAAAAGTTTACTCTTGAAAAATTCTGAAAGAGTAATCAGTAGATAATCAGCTGTTAAAAATCATCACTTTGCAATAATCGGTAAGCAAAACAGGGTACCAATCATCGCAAAGTGATTTTTCCCTATTTAAAACATCGCAAAAGTTCATCGGTGTGTGAATTCATTGTTAAACGGGGCGCCTGTTAAGCGAGGCACCACTGTATTTGTTCCATTGAATTATTATGGTTAATGCAATTAATAATATGGTATGCCCATGAATTTCAATGTTTCCTTGTACAATTCCCATTGGTTTTAGCTGAGCTGGTATCAGTAATAAAAACTAATATTAATGCTTATATGTAATAATGAGCCATCAAAACACGAGAAAGAACCTGAGAAAGTGAATATCAAAATATGTTTAGATCTCATGTGAGTAGTACAGTAACATTAGCCAAGATGCTGATGCACAGATTGAGGATTAATAAAGAAACCAAAACCACACACACACACACACACACAAACACACACACAAACACAAGCACATAATATTATTATATTTACATAGAAAAAGTCCAATTAGCTGTCACCAAGCAAACATGTTAAATTTTGGGGAAATGGCTTCTAAAAGAATCTCTTTAAGATATAAATTTCACATCCTAAAATTACTGAATTCTTCTCTAGAGCAAAGACTGAAACTATAAAACATAGGGCAGGGTTTACAGTTTATGTGTTTTAAATTGTGCATAAGATAATAGCCTGGCTGATATTACAGTTAAATTGAAGCTACTTGTATAAAGAAACTGTGGAAAAAAAGATGTTAAAAAGCCCAACTTTTTTTCCTAATTGAAATTACACATGCAAGGAAATTTTAATTAGAAAAAAAAAGTTAAGCTGTTTTACATTTTTTCCCAGTTTCTTTATACAAGTAGATTCAAATTCAACTATTTCTTTCTTTGTGAGAATGATTTAAAATAACCACTTAGCATAGAAAAAGTCTAATTAGCTGTCACCAAGCAAACATGTTAAATTTGGGAGAAATGGCTTCTAAAAGAATCTCTTTAAGATATAAATTTCACATCCTAAAATTACTGAATTCTTCTCTAGAGAGTTAACTGAAACTATAAAACATAGGGCAGGGTTTACAGTTTATGTGTTTTAAATTGTGCATAAGATAATAGCCTGGCTGATATTACAGTTAAATTGAAGCTACTTGTATAAAGAAACTGTGGGAAAAAAGATGTTAAAAAGCCCAACTTTTTTTCCTAATTGAAATTACACATGCAAGGAAATTTTAATTAGAAAAAAAAAGTTAAGCTGTTTTACATTTTTTCCCAGTTTCTTTATACAAGTAGATTCAAATTCAACTATTTCTTTCTATGTGAGAATGATTTAAAATAACCACTGTTATTCATGAGGAGAACACTATAAAAATATTTTTGTAATAATAACAGTTATACATTTTATAATAACATCTGAAAATCACCTATCCCATCTCTAGCAAGTTTTAAGAAATCCCTGAAAACTTTCTTATCTCAGCAAGCTTTCTAAAACATGTCATCTGAATAGCCAGCTGAGAGTATCAGCCTATTATTTTTAACTGCTGCTTCTTTTTAAATGTAATGCTAATTTAACTGTAATCTCACATACAGTGGACCCTTGACTTAC